AGGATTAGCAAGTTCTCGAAACTCAAAGGTATATCGGGCGTATCTCCAGCACCGATGTGGAGGGTAAACCACATAACAGATGACAAATATATGAGGTGGTTTGATGCAAATGGCTCCCACTACATATGTTAATTAGGGTTAAGACAGGCATGACGCGAGTGTTCCGCCCACACTCACAAAACAGACTCTTGGATGACGTTAGAGACATTAGGAGTGCATTCTTAGGCAACCTGATAATTTCAGCCATGATGCCTGATACAAAAATAAATACGGGGGAAGGTCTCCGCTGAGGCATAGCGAAAATTTCACAATACATAGATGGAAAGGGGAAGGGGGTAGCTGTAGGACGTGCAGAATTTAGGAGAACTCTTAGTGTGTTCTTCCTAGAAGGCTTCTTATGTGCTTCTCCGAGGCTATGGGTCCTCATACACTGCACCTAGCGTTACACTCTGCACCTAGCGTCACACACTGCACCTACAGTCACACCCTGCACCTACAGTCACACCCTGCACCTAAAGTCACACCCTGCACCTACAGTCACACCCTGCACCTAAAGTCACACCCTGCACCTAAAGTCACACCCTGCACCTACAGTCACACCTGCACCTAAAGTCACACCCTGCACCTACAGTCACACCCTGCACCTAAAGTCACACCCTGCACCTAAAGTCACACCCTGCACCTACAGTCACACCCTGCACCTAAAGTCACACCCTGCACCTACAGTCACACCCTGCACCTAAAGTCACACCCTGCACCTACAGTCACACCCTGCACCTAAAGTCACACCCTGCACCTAAAGTCACACCCTGCACCTACAGTCACACCCTGCACCTACAGACACACCCTGCACCTACAGTCACACTGCACCTACAGTCACACCCTGCACCTACAGTCACACCCTGCACCTACAGTCACACCCTGCACCTAAAGTCACACCCTGCACCTAAAGTCACACCCTGCACCTAAAGTCACACCCTGCACCTACAGTCACACCCTGCACCTAAAGTCACACCCTGCACCTAAAGTCACACCCTGCACCTACAGTCACACCCTGCACCTAAAGTCACACCCTGTACCTACAGACACACCCTTCACCTCCAGGAGGATCCAATCTACATATTCTATATTAAAACATGCATAGTGCTATCTATGTAGATACGACAGAATGCTGCAATTTGGCTGGCCAAAGAAAAAAATAAATGGAAATGCTCCCAGGAACACAGCTTCTGATACGAATCATACTCAGCGCAGCGCTACTCAGACACATACATACGAATACTAAGAAGAATCTTACCTAAGTCGTGTCGACTACAAGCAGCGCTTAAGATTTCGAGAGAGAAAAAATGCAAAAGGCCGGTACATTATAATAAAACTTGGAGTAAGCCGGAGTAAATTAGGAGTTTCTATGCATGGGGCGTCAGCGGCTCGTCGTAAAAATGCAGACTATAACACTAAAAAAAGATATGAAAGTGGGCCGTATGGCAGTACACAAGCCAGAGAATTCTACGTTAAAGCTATCTATTTAATCTCTGTAAAGAGTACAGTGGTGTAAATTAATTAGACTTCATCAGAGAGATACATAAAAGTTGTTGTGATCCGAGATGTGTTCTCGTGAGCACCGGAGATCTTCAGGTAAACACTGCCAACCAACTCCCCTTCAAACACCATGCTAAGTGCTGGGAATAAAATTTTCCGTATTGCTGTTTATGGCAGCGTCTGGGGAGGTTTTATGGCACCTTGTATGAGGGGGAAGCATACACACAGTGTGAGTCGAGGCACGGTCGAAGGCCATGTGGTATCTGATTAGACGTAGGTTGTACCCACCCATGGTCTACGTTCTCTTAGCATTGTTAACAGGCTGTACTAGCCATGGTCTACGTCCTCACAGTGCTAAGTCACGGGCTGTACCACTCATGGTCTACGACCTCACAGTACTAAGTCACGGGCTGTACCACTCATGGTCTACGACCTCACAGTACTAAGTCACGGGCTGTACCACTCATGGTCTACGACCTCACAGTACTAAGTCACGGGCTGTACCACCCATGGTCTACGACCTCACAGTACTAAGTCACGGGCTGTACCACCCATGGTCTACGACCTCACAGTACTAAGTCACGGGCTGTACCACCCATGGTCTACGACCTCACAGTACTAAGTCACGGGCTGTACCACTCATGGTCTACGACCTCACAGTACTAAGTCACGGGCTGTACCACCCATGGTCTACGACCTCACAGTACTAAGTCATGGGCTGTACCACCCATGGTCTACGACCTCACAGTACTAAGTCACGGGCTGTACCACTCATGGTCTACGACCTCACAGTACTAAGTCACGGGCTGTACCACCCATGGTCTACGACCTCACAGTACTAAGTCACGGGCTGTACCACCCATGGTCTACGACCTCAACACTAAGTCACGGGCTGTACCCACCACGACTTGCATCGATACAACAGTGTCACATTCGACGTGTAACCACGCTCGACCCACAGGTTGAGAGGTTCATGGAGCATCGGATGCAACATAAGATGGCAAACCCCTCAGAGTTCAACTCAACACGGTAGAGAGAGAGCTACGCACGTCGGGCCACTCTAAAACTGACGCTGGCCAGCACCCCGTCGATAAATTAAAACGCTTACATGCACCCAAAGCCTCCAGCTCACGATGCATATAATGCGTACAGTCACTAAAAATAAATAACGGCGAGGAATATGATCAAGATCAAATTACAAAGTAACGAAAGTTTATTTTGACCACACATCGAATAAGAGAATATATCAAGATAGGATATAAGGCATGTGGAGAGAGAGAGAGAGAGAGAGAGAGAGAGAGAGAGAGAGAGAGAGAGAGAGAGAGAAGAGAGAGAGAGAGAGAGAGAGAGAGAGAGAGAGAGAGAGAGAGAGAGAAACAGACACAGACAGACAGACAGAAACAATACTCAGGTCATTTACGATTTCAGCAATCAAATGCCTTGATAACCCAGTATGTACCTCGATAATAATCCAACAAATACCTTGGTAACCCAGCAAATGCCCTTGTAACTAGGGAAGTGTCCTGGTAACCCGGGAAGCGACCTGCTTAACAAACAAGTGCCAATATCACCTAACAAATGCCACGGTAACTAAACCAGTGTCCCAGCAACAGTTTTAACGTACAATGTTGCTATAAATAAGATGGCATATTGCCTGAGGTCAGTGTGGGACAGTCATCGCAAGGACTGACGGATAATCGCATGGGACAGTCATCGCAAGGACTGACGGATAATCGCATGGGACAGTCACCGCAAGGACTGACGGATAATCGCATGGGACAGTCACCGCAAGGACTGACGGATAATCGCATGGGACAGTCACCGCAAGGACTGACGGATAATCCCATGGGACAGTCACCGCAAGGACTGACGGATAATCGCATGGGACAGTCATCGCAAGGACTGACGGATAATCGCATGGGACAGTCATCGCAAGGACTGACGGATAATCGCATGGGACAGTCATCGCAAGGACTGACGGATAATCGCATGGGACAGTCATCGCAAGGACTGGCGGATAATCGCATGGGACAGTCATCGCAAGGACTGACGGATAATCGCATGGGACAGTCATCGCAAGGACTGGCGGATAATCGCATGGGACAGTCATCGCAAGGACTGGCGGATAATCGCATGGGACAGTCACCGCAAGGACTGACGGATAATCGCATGGGACAGTCACCGCAAGGACTGACGGATAATCGCATGGGACAGTCATCGCAAGGACTGACGGATAATCGCATGGGACAATCATCGCAAGGACTGACGGATAATCGCATGGGACAGTCACCGCAAGGACTGACGGATAATCGCATGGGACAGTCATCGCAAGGACTGGCGGATAATTGCATGGGACAGTCATCGCAAGGACTGACGGATAATCGCATTGGACAGTCACCGCAAGGACTGACGGATAATCGCATGGGACAGTCATCGCAAGGACTGACGGATAATCGCATGGGACAGTCATCGCAAGGACTGACGGATAATCGCATGGGACAGTCATCGCAAGGACTGACGGATAATCGCATGGGACAGTCATCGCAAGGACTGACGGATAATCGCATGGGACAGTCACCGCAAGGACTGACGGATAATCGCATGGGACAGTCATCGCAAGGACTGACGGATAATCGCATGGGACAGTCACCGCAAGGACTGACGGATAATCGCATGGGACAGTCATCGCAAGGACTGACGGATAATCGCATGGGACAGTATCCGCAAGGACTGACGGATAATCGCATGGGACAGTCCGCAAGACGACGATAATCGCATGGACGTATCGCAAGGACTGACGGATAATCGCATGGGACAGTCATCGCAAGGACTGACGGATAATAGCATGGGACAGTCATCGCAAGGACGACGGATAATAGCATGGGACAGTCATCGCAAGGACTGACGGATATCGCATGGGACAGTCATCGCAAGGACTGACGGATAATCGCATGGGACAGTCATCGCAAGGACTGACGGATAATCGCATGGGACAGTCATCGCAAGGACTGACGGATAATCGCATGGGACAGTCATCGCAAGGACTGACGGATAATCGCATGGGACAGTCATCGCAAGGACTGACGGATAATCGCATGGGACAGTCATCGCAAGGACTGACGGATAATCGCATGGGACAGTCATCGCAAGGACTGACGGATAATCGCATGGGACAGTCATCGCAAGGACTGACGGATAATCGCATGGGACAGTCATCGCAAGGACTGACGGATAATCGCATGGGACAGTCATCGCAAGGACTGACGGATAATCGCATGGGACAGTCATCGCAAGGACTGACGGATAATCGCACGGGACAGTCATCGCAAGGACTGACGGATAATCGCACTGTTCTGGTCTATGACCATCCAGATTGCAGCTAGCAGTTTCTTTAACCAGTCAAGTTGTCAGTACCGCGGAGGAGCGGACCGGGGACTGCAGGTCACCTACTGGGTACTCACTGGTGGAGGTGGAGGTAGTGGGCGTGGTAGAGAGGCTTTTGTGGGCGTCCAGCGTAGGGGGAAGTGGCACTCCGTGGCTCCCTTTGCCCTCCTGCAGTGCCGCCAGGGTCAACAAGGTGGAAAAGTTACCACCGCCCAACATCTGTAAAAAAAGAACGTCGGCGAATTAGCCAAAAACGATTTAAAACTACTGATGGCAAGTGCAAAAATCAAATGATTCTTACATCTTAGAGACAGATGTTGACGGGTTAGACGAATTAGAATTAGAAGTTAAGATTTAGATATTGACGCCGAAGCGGCTAGTTTACTGTGGACGCTACATAATCTTGAAATACAGAGAATTAGACTTCAAAAAAGCGTACCCATTAGGGTTTACTGAACGCGAATGTAGTGAATTACCAAGCTGGTTTATTAGGTTTGAAGCCTATCTACCGCATAAAGACTAATAGTATATTATAAAGAGCAATATTATTCCAATAATATTAAATAACTAATATTATACCAATAATTATAATATAAAAAATATTAATAATAATAACAGCAACCCAAAATTTTATCACATTTATATCCATGCATTAACATGCCTTAAAAATGGACGAGGACTCGAACCGAGGTGGACGTGAGGAAGTAGGTCCATCATGGCACCACACAGCCACCAGGGACTGGTGGCCGCTGATACAACCATGTCACGGTTCGAGTCTCCGTCCGCTATACTATTCTTTTCCGCTGACAGTCGTTATTACGACTTATTGGATTATTTTCTTGACACTAACGTTTGACCAGTTTCTCATTCTTCTCATTCAGAATAGTTATAGAATAATTCAGAATAGTTATACAATAATTTAGAATAGTTATAGGATAACTTAGAATAGTTATAGAATTATTTAGAATTATAGAATTATTTAGAATAATTATAGAATTATTTAGAATAGTTATAGAATAAATTAGAATAGTTATAGAATCACTTAGAATATAGAATAATTTAGAATAGTTATAGAATAATTTAGAATATAGAATTATTTAGAATAGTTATAGAATAATTCAGAATAGTTATACAATAATTTAAAATAGTTATAGGATAACTTAGAATAGTTATAGAATTATTTAGAATTATAGAATTATTTAGAATAATTATAGAATAATTTAGAATAGTTATAGAATAATTTAGAATAGTTATAGAATAATTTAGAATAGAGAATAATTTAGAATAGTTATAGAATTATTTAGAATATAAAATTATTTAGAATAGTTATAGAATTATTTAGAATATAGAATTATTTAGAATAGCTATAGAATCACTTAGAATATAGAATAATTTAGAATAGTTATAGAATCACTTAGAATATAGAATAATTTAGAATAGTTATAGAATAATTTAGAATAGTTATAGAATAATTTAGAATAATTATAGAATAATTTAGAATATAGAATAATTTAGAATAATTATAGAATAATTTAGAATAGTTATAGAATAATTTAGAATAATTATAGAATAATTTAGAATAATTATAGAATAGTTTAGAATAATTATAGAATAGTTTAGAATAGTTATAGATTAGCTTTGAATGGTTATACAATCATTTAGGAAAGTAATAAAATCATATATGGATCAATACGGCGCACAGTGTGGTGGCCTTATAACCCACAACAAAGAATAAGGTGGCAGCCTCTTGATCACGTGTCCCTGCAGGTTTAATTACGCTTCCTAGTTTGACGAAATGTCTTTCGCGAACACCGGGAAGACTGCGTCCTTGGACACCGGGAAGACTGCTACCTAGGACACCGGGAACACTGCAACCTAGGACACCGGGAACACTGCTACCTAGGACACCGGGAACACTGCTACCTAGGGCACCGGGAACACTGCTACCTAGGACACCGGGAACACTGCTACCTAGGGCACCGGGAACACTGCTACCTAGGGCACCGGGAACACTGCTACCTAGGACACCGGGAACACTGCTACCTAGGACACCGGGAACACTGCTACCTAGGACACCGGGAACACTGCTACCTAGGGCACCGGGAACACTGCTACCTAGGACACCGGGAACACTGCTACCTAGGGCACCGGGAACACTGCTACCTAGGGCACCGGGAACACTGCTACCTAGGGCACCGGGAACACTGCTACCTAGGACACCGGGAACACTGCTACCTAGGACACCGGGAACACTGCTACCTAGGACACCGGGAACACTGCTACCTAGGGCACCGGGAACACTGCTACCTAGGACACCGGGAACACTGCTACCTAGGACACCGGGAACACTGCTACCTAGGACACCGGGAACACTGCTACCTAGGACACCGGGAACACTGCTACCTAGGACACCGGGAACACTGCTACCTAGGACACCGGGAACACTGCTACCTAGGACACCGGGAACACTGCTACCTAGGGCACCGGGAACACTGCTACCTAGGACACCGGAACACTGCTACCTAGGACACCGGGAACACTGCTACCTAGGGCACCGGGAACACTGCTACCTAGGACACCGGAACACTGCTACCTAGGACACCGGGAACACTGCTACCTAGGACACCGGGAACACTGCTACCTAGGACACCGGGAACACTGCTACCTAGGACACCGGGAACACTGCTACCTAGGGCACCGGGAACACTGCTACCTAGGA